CCGCCCTCCTCCTCCAGAGTCCCCGCCTGCCAGCCCGGGAGCTGTCAGCTCCGGCCCGGCTCTATCACAAGAAGGTATGGGTGGGTGAGGGGGAATGCGGACCGCCCAGGGGATCCAGGCGCCCCGCAGGTCCCTGGGCTGCGAAGGCCGACTTACTCCAGGGTCTGCCTCCATGCATTTTTCCCCGCTAAGCAGTGATCCTGACCGCCACTGACATACCAGTGATACAGTGGCGACTTCCAGTGGGCCCGCTGCTGTCCGCCGCTAAGAACCAGCTTTCAACTCGCCGCATCCCAGGCGGGAGGGTACTGCTGTGAATTACTATTCTGCGTCGAGACGGGCACGGGCTCCGGCGTCAGCCAGGCCGCTGCTATCGCTAAGTGACTGTGGGCAAGTCAGGGCCCCTCGCTGATGGCAAAGTGGAGGGCAGCAATCTCCTGCAACAGATAACATATGTGAGTCAGCTGCCTGGTGCCGGGTGTATTGGCCTAACACAGGAAGGCCACTTAGGATGCCCAGGAGAGTTAGGCGCTTAACTAACGATAGTATTTTGTTTCTTGACGGGAGTGGCTTCTGGGAACCATTATCTTCATATGAGACCTACTCCGGAAACAACTAAAGTGTTCTGTAAATCAACGAGGCGCAGAAAAGTCCCCACTAGATATTTTGTGAGTCCGTGGAACTGAGTCAAAATCTGTGATCAGGTGGAAAGGACGACTAGAAGGTCAAGATTCGTACTGCTAACTGGTAGACAAACCCTGAGGTTATTAGAGCCTGCGGTATGCCAGTGTCAGTGAATGTTCAATCCTTCTGACTTCAGCACTTCTAAACTTTCGCTCCTCCTGGGCCCGGGTTGTGTTTTGTTGACACTGACCTCGGAAGGAACTTGGGCCGACAGCCTTTCAGCACCAGGGTGCGCTGCTGCACCAGCTTGGTTTCAAGGTCCTGAAAGACAACGATGGTGATGTTTTTATTTTAGTACGTAGACAGAAAAGGACTCGTTCCATAGCATCGTTTACCGTAAGAGTCACCTTGAGGCTTCTGAGAAAGCTTCCTTCCTATTTTAGAATTAAAAAAAAAATAATCATTCTCCTTTGACAGTGGATTTTTATTGGGAAATAAAGCTCTGCTTAAGCACAAACTAGGTGATGTAGGTGGGTTGAAGCGACATGATTATTTGTGGCTGAAAACCCTAAAGAGCTAAAAACATGACTTTTCTGCTTTCTTTGCTCCCTCTCAAACAGTGTCTTCCATCTCTGGAGGAAGTTGGAGAGGAGATAACGAAAAGAATTGGATTCGCAAATTCTCCTTGATAAATACAATCTACCGCACTGCCTGGTTCAGGTTGCTGACCTTGAGGGAGACTGGTACCAGTAATGTGATCATGACTTCTCTTAACCCTGTCATTTCAGGTTGTGGATCATTATGAAAATCCTAGAAATGTAGGGTCTCTTGACAAGACAGCTAAAAATGTTGGAACTGGATTGGTGGGTGCTCCGGCATGTGGTGATGTCATGAAATTGCAGGTACCACCCGGTTCATCTTTATTTGAGAGAAGAGTAGCCCTTTCCCTTAAACAATGCTTCCCAGTTGACAAAGTGCATATATGTAGCATCTCATTTGATCTTCATATATTCGAATGACATGGAATGAGTCAGTGTCAGAGCTGCTTAGAGCAGGCACTCAGTCTTAGTTTTCCAGCTAGGATACTATGCTGTCCTAAAACAGGGAACTGATCCAAATTCACTATATTGTTTTAAATTTCAGCTTCAGCTGAGTGAAAGATTTTGTGGGTTTTCCTGGTCAAAGGAAACGTCTAGTGAGCTAGCACTCCTCGGCAAAACAAGAAGTGCAATGAACTAAAACTGTCCCCTATTTGGAAGTGACCTGAAAGTACTGGATTGCACTTTGAATAAACCATAGCTTTAACCACAATCTTCATGGTGAACAGACATGTTGCCAGGGTCTTCATACCTATCTTGGAAAACAGAGAACCACTGAGTGCATTTTGATGCCCAAGAAAAACATTATCCATAGACCTTGGCTACAGATTCTCCCAGTGTTTATGGGGCAAATTTCCCCAGCAGCTTTGAGCAGACTTCTTCCAATAGAACTTAGAGCCAAAAAGCATTCGAGGATTGCAAACAGAGTGAAACTAGCATGGAAGAAAGAGCCTAATCTTCGTCTCATCCTTACCAGCCAGGCCCATCTAGTTGCTCCAAAGTCTCAGTTTTGATCACTAAGGTCTTTGAAACAAAGCAAATTCAGTAATTAATGTCATGGTTTCCAAGGCAGACAGAAACCCCAGAGGTCCCATGGGTAGCGGGCTCCTGGGTCCTAGAGGGTGGCCCCAGGAATCACCACTTAACTCCTGTCTCTTCTAGATTCAAGTGGATGAAAAGGGGAAGATTGTAGATGCCAGGTTTAAAACATTTGGCTGTGGTTCCGCGATTGCCTCCAGCTCCTTAGCCACCGAATGGGTGAAAGGGAAGACGGTAAGCTTGCTTACAAGTGTGATGGAGTTAAATCACACTCCCTACAGCCTAGCTCTTGAAGGCCCTAGTGGATCAAAAGGTAACCTTGAGGGCTGGGGATTTAGCTCAGTGGTACTGCTTCCTGCCTCACAAGCACAAAGGTTCTGAGTTTAATCCTCAGTACCAAAAACAAAAGTAACCACGATTTCTTCCAAATATTCAAAAAATTTTATTTTAATCTCTTCCTTTCCCAGCTTTTGATTGCATTCCTCACATTGGGAATTGTAGACTATCTTGTTAGGTATTGCTTGGGGATTTTTGTTGATCATTTTTATTTGGGCGTTCAGGTGGTGTTTTGGTAATTACAGAGAAAAAAATTTCTCATCTGTCCTTCTGATAAAATGAAATCGAGGCTGGGCATGGTGGTGCATGCCAGTAATCTCAGCACTCATAAGTTTGAAACCAGCCTGGGCTATTTCACGAGTTCAAGGCCAGCCTGAACTACATAGCAAGACCCTGTCTCAAAAAAGAAAAAAAAAAAGAAAGAAAGAAATTGAAGTCTTTGTCTTGCTCTGAGGTTGCTGATATTCTTATAGTTCATGTGTCTAGGGTCAGGTTGGGGGATGTTGAATAATGGTTATTTTCCTCTTTATTTCTTCCCATCCTATTTTTTCAGGAAGGATTGCAGGTGGTTTACAAATATTGGTGAAATAAACTAGCATGCGTTACAAGAGGTATTAAAACACAGCCAGAGTAAGTGGCAGGGATCCAGGTGGCTGATAGCTGGCCCTGAGGGTGGAAATGAGAAAGCCAGAACACCTTTCCCATGTTCTGCTCGACCATAGCCTCTTCCCCAGCAGCTACAGGGGTAGAAGCTCTATGAAAATCTGAAACGGCCGCTGTGAAAAGCCAAGCTGCAGGGCACTCATCCTTGCTACGCTGGGAGTCAGTTCCGGGAGCTGAGTTACGGAGGCACCTGCTCCCAGTGCTGACCAGCTCTCCCAGAAAGCAGTTTGCCGGACTACATGCCACCTGCTTCCTGTAGCTCAGAGCCTACTGCCTGGTGAGCTCTGCAGGCCCCAAAAGTACAGGCCTAATCTGCTCTAACAGGAGATAGATCTGAAGTGATGGGTCAAGAACTGTCCTCAGTGAATGGGGAAAGGTGACTGGGCGCACTTCCAGGACCTGGCCTCCAGGGGCCTCGGAGTCATGATCAGAATGGGGGAAGGGCGCCTGTAACCTTGAAATCCTGAGCTAGCCAGGGAGCCAGGCTGATGGGCAAATCTGCCATTCCTTAATGCAGGAAGCTGCCTGCCTCATGTCATCCCAGGGCTTCCTCCCAGACCTCAGGCATCCTCTGCAGCCTGAACAGGAGGAGATTCTCTACTTTAGGCAAAGGATAAGTCCAAGCAGAGCTCTCAGCCCGAGACCTGCCAAAGCAGCACAGAAAATTGCTGCCTTTAAGCAGTGACTCTGCTGCTGGCTGTGAGCAGAGCTCTCAGAGATGTCCCGTGGGTCTGCACCTGGCTGGTGCAGGTGTGTGTACTGCACACTTGAGAATCCCAGCAGCGGTCTGGCACGCCAGTGGGAATCCTGAGAACGCTGTCAAGCTTTGTTTTGTTATTAAGCAGAAGTCATCCCCTGCCAGCCTGTCCCCTTGGGCCTTCCTTTTTTATTGTCTGACCCTCTCACAAGAAAGCTTCTGCAGAACTGTACCTCGTTCCTTTGCGCCTTTCAGGTGGAGGAAGCCTTGACCATCAAAAACACAGACATCGCCAAGGAGCTCTGCCTTCCGCCTGTGAAACTGCACTGCTCCAGTGAGTATTTGCTCTCCAGGGCACCAGCTGGTGGGGACGCTGGCAGCCATTTCAGCTGCACTAGTGACAGTGCTTTGGGGTCCTAGAGTCCGTCTGTGTAACCCGCAGAGGATTGGTGCTCACAGAGTCTGGCAGATTAACACCCTGCAGTCTCACAGCCAGGGCCTCCAGGGAGTCATGCCAGGAGCCTCTGAGCACTGCAGGGCATGATTTTATAAACCTCAGAAACGGCCTTAAGTCCACAGATGTCATCATTCCCCTCTTCCATAGGAGGAACCTGGCTCAGGTGGAAACACCTCAGTCACACAGTTGCTAAGTGAGAGCCAGAATTTAAACCCCATCTTTGATTCCTGCATTGTGCTATAGCCAAGTTAGGACCAGCAGAGGCAAAAACCCAACTTTGGCCATCCTGCGTTCTTCGCGTCCTCCATCGCTGCCTGTCCAGATGCTGTGGCTGGGGGGGTCCGCATCTGCACCTGCCTGAGTGGAGTGACGCAGCCTGTTGTGCAACGTCCCCTCAGCAGTGTGGGCAGTGAGGGCCCACGAGCCACGAGGCTTGCACTTGACCTTCACTGCCATCGTCACTGTTATTAAATCTAGTGCTCTCCCGTCCTCTCGTAATGCTCAAGGAAATAGGAAATGAGAAACAGTCGCTTTAACAGTAAACATCGGTAGAGGCTTACTAAGCAAACTAGTTAACATATCCCCAGAGAGTGCCTTCCTGTCAGGGTAAGGACACTGCTGGGCTGGGGGCCACAAATGCTGGCCTCAGGACACCTGCTGAGACCCAAGTTCTTTCCATTTGAGCTGGAATTTTAAGTACCCATGAGGAAAGGTCATAGCTTGTAAACATTTTCACGGGGTTGCAGGAAAACTTCAGCCGTTTTGGTAGGCTCCTTAAGTACTGTACTGAAATCTTTAATGCTCTGCTGTTTGCGGCTTTCTGTGGTCATTCTAGCTCCTCCAGTTTTTATCTTTCCCCATAGTTTCCTATTCAATATCAATTCCTAAACAGAAGCTTTCAGACTTGGGATCAGAAGAGGGCAAGTTGGCAGACTCCGTCCCATCAGCCCTGTGGGACTTAGGTTCAGCACCGAGTTTAACCAGCATCTGCCGGGTTCGGGCCAGACTTTCACAGGAGCACACAAGAACTAACGTTCATTGTATCCCTACTAAGTGCTAGGTACTTTCTGGAATTCCCTCACTATCCCAGCAAGAAAAGTATGACTAACCCAGTTTTACCAAAGAGAAAGTGAATTCCAGGAGGCTAAGGAACGAGGCCAGAATCCCAGATATTTAAGCCCCCAGTCTGTCCCAGGGCCACCCACAGGAGTAATGGGGCCCAGAAAGCAGCTGCCCGACTTTCCGTCTGGCTCCCCACCCCAGCACCTGGCAGAGTCACTCAGATAAGCCCCACACACACCAGTGCCCTCCAGCCCAGAGGTTTTCTTCCCGTGACTATTCCTTCAGCGTGTAGAAGCTCAGGCGGTCTCCTGTTCCTTCTAGTGCTGGCAGAAGATGCCATCAAGGCCGCCCTGGCTGATTTCAAACTGAAGCAAGAACCCAAGAAAGGAGATGCAGAGAAGAAATGAGCCCTTGGCAAAGCTCCAGCAGGTCGAGCGACTTTGCCCACCTCTGTGCAAACACTTGGAACGTTCAGAAGCTCCTCACACTGCTTCAGAGAGGCTGTGAGATCTGCACAGTATTTGCATCCATATTGTGACTCCAGTGCGAGCAAAATATACTGTTTAATTGTTCTGCATCCTGTGGTTTCTTTCAGCTCACTTTCATCACCATAATGCACTTAATGTATATTTTGAATCACGCATATGGCCTCACAGCTGAAATCAGTGAAGTCTCTAGTTTTGATAGCCCGCAAAGTGCATAAGTATCTTCTTCTACCTACATCTGTTTTGGAGAAGGTTACCAGTAAAATGCCTTGGTCTGATGACTTGGTAGAACCAATTATTGTACATAGAACAGATCTGCATATATATGCACATATATATATGCACACACATGCATATATATATTATACTAAAAGAATGTAAGATGACGATTTTCTCTCGTAAGCCTTGTATCTTGGATCCCCTTCCCCAAAGTGTTGCCCAAAGCCCTTTGGGGTTCCCCAAAACTAGACAGTGAAGGTGCACACAGCTCTCCTAGCAAAGTGGACAATAAAGGCCACGAGTAGAGGTTTTTCCAAAAGCATAAGTGCTTTATGAAACGGGGAGATGGTCATTTTTTTGAGACAGTCTTGTTAGGCTGCCCACAAACTCCTCCTGCTCCCGCCTCCCGCATAGCTGAGGCAATAGGCACGTGCCTCCTCAACCAGCTTTGGACACTGCTTTTCATTGCTCTTCACAAAGTAAAAGATAACTCAAAGTTGAGTCATGCAGATTCTTTTTCCGGTGTCACTGGTTTATGAAATCTGAGAAAGACTGGCTGAGAAGGTATAATACGCCTATGGACCAAACTTGTTAGGAGCACTTGGGAAATGAATGCAAATGCAGATTTCTAGGCCCAGGGCTCTGACTTGGGTCTGGGCAGGTGATTCTGGTGCCCCCAACTTTTGAGAGCCTCCTGGATTTTTTGTGGGGGGAAGATGAGCCGAGGCGTAGGGAAGAAGCTTTCCTTCTGTTTGTCTGTCCCGTGTAGGTGTGGCATTAAGTGGTTCCCTCTGACCCTGCCGTAGGTGTGCAGGGCGCCTGAGGTGGCTCCTGACGGGCTGCCTGGCTCGCCGGCTCGGAGCCCCCCACCAGTCCAAGCTCCCCTACCTGAAGTCACAAATCTCAGTCCAGGAGGGCCAGTTTTCAGATACAAATGTGGGGCCAGGATGTAGCTCAGTGGTTCCGCCACCTACCATGCAAGGTCCAGAGTTGATCCCGGTACCAAAAAAAAAAAGCAAATGTGATCCTCAAGCAGGGAGATGGATCTTTTGCAAATGAGAAAAGAACCAAGAGATGGAGAGAGGGAAGGGAAAAGGAGAGTAAAAAAGTTTTATATATGTGTACGAACTCCCTGTGGTGAATGTAATCATGTACTACAAATGTATTTTAAAAATTTAAATAAAATATATAGAAGTCACCCCCGCAAAAAAGACTACCATAATGAACACCTAAAGTAAGACATTTGTTTTTCAAATTTTGATTTTTTTTTTCAAACATAGGCCGGGTCACCTCTTAAATATACCCCCTTTGTTTAAAAAGTACATATTTTTAACATTCTGGGTTCTAGCGGAGAACACAGAACTTCAAAGGCTGTTGCCTCCACAGTCTGTAAAAAGACCACAGACCAGGGCCTCGTCAGAATCTCAAATTAGAGCCCTGGGTGGAAACATCTCCAGTTGTCCCGTGTGGCATGTTCTGCTGTGTAATTCACGGGCACTCTGAGCCGGGCTAGTCTCTCCCTTGTCACATGTGGCAACACCACAATTCCCCACCTCTTTTCTTTTCCACTTTTTAAATGAGACATTTCTGTCCCAGTTAACCTCCTCTGAAAATTGGAACTGAATTCTGCAAATCAGAAGCAGCCGGTAAACAGCCAAACAATACTACAGCGCGTCTCAGACCTCCGTGCCAACAGGCCACTAACAGAAGCGGGTATTTCCATCGACACATTGAAAACTCCCCTTTCCAGACAAGTCTAGTTTGAACCCCACGAAGGCCTTGCATAACCTTTACCTCCCTGGAGCTGTTTTGTTTCTTTGTGTTTTATTGTTTTCTGGATCTCCAAGTGGGTCTTGGCATGTTTAAGTAAACTCTTCCGTGGGGAGTCTTGACAGATAAAATGGCCCGTAGAGCACCATGCACGATGACCCAAAGGCAGTGAACCAATTCTCAGGGCCCAGTGGCCCCCGCTGCACCCCAGCTGCCAACCAGGAGCCATATTGTGGTGCTCTGGAAGTGCGGCCTGGGCACTGGCATCATCGGCGGGCTGGCGGGGCTGATGGAGGGCAGGTGGACGGTGGACATTGGGAAGCAGCTCAGAGAGGTGGAGTGACTCACCCCAAGGCACGCCGCTATGGCCAGCAGGATGGAGCTCTGGCTTGGGTTCTCTGCCCGCCTCCCAGCCCCTTGGGAGCCACAGACGTCTCATTTCACCTTTCCTAATTGTTCTTCCTGGGCTTGGGCCACTTGGGACTACATCAAAATGCCTAGCTTTGGAAGCTCACATCAAGCATCGTCCTATAAAGGCCTCAACAGCCCCTTGATGCAGAGGCAAGAGTGTCACCTTCCTAGGTGACATCAGCCAACCCCTCAAAGGTCGCCTCCCCAGAGACGGCCATCTCCCTACAGGGAGGCAGCAGCTCGGCAGAGTGCCATGATCTTAGGCATCGGATCAAATGCCGGCTACCCGAGCCTCAGCTTCTTCGTCTGCCAAATGGGAATCATGACGATAACAGTATTTCTTGGTCCGGTATGGTTGACACCAGGCACGGTCATCCAGTGCTCTACCTAGTTCATGTACCCTTCACACAACCCTAAATGCCACAACACTCTCCCTTTACAGACAAAGGAAGTAAAAGCATCAGTGGCAGGTCCGAGATGGAGGTCGTGGTTAGGAAATGGGGAAAGCAGACTCTAGTCCAAGGCCGTCTGATGCAGAGCCAAGGGCAGTTTGCTATTACTGCCGCATCATCCTTACTGCTGCCTGCATCGGTTTTGTTACTGCTGCTGTGATAGCAAGTATGTTACAATGACCCCGAGTACTACTACTGCTGTTGTTACTGGGTATAAATCCTTAACCTCAAGGCTCCCAAGGCAGGGTGTCTTCTGCATAGAACCAGCGCTCACAGGAGGTCTCCAAAACCACGCAAAGCTGTGTCCTGGTGAGGCCCATGAGGAGACACACGAGTGTGACTGGTATCACTCACAGCTTGACAGGCAAGCTTGCTCCACTGCCTTTGGCCAGCCACAGGGGATGAGCCGTGAACAGTGCCACTGCCGCCACCACTCGGCTATCCTTGGCAATGTCATGTTAGACACTGCCCGTCACTTCATTTCAGAGAAACGCAGCTCCCAGAAGAACCCCAGAAGGTCCGGGTGAGAACACACTCGTCACCCCAGATCTGCGGTGCAGAGGCGTTTCCAGGCACCTCCCTTCCTACCCCGGGGCCTTGGGGTCAAAGGAAGCCCCGGTGGGGAGACTGGGCTGGCCCCAGCTCTGCCCAAACACACTGCAAAGCTGGTCCCATGGAGCAGGATCACAGGACTTCAGAGAACCACGGATGAGAGTTGAGCACTCAGGTTCTGACCACCACTCTGCCCTGATCCTTCCTGATCTTGCCTGATACTCAGGCAAGAACTTAACTTCTCTGAGCCTTGGCTTCCGCTTCTGAAAAATCAGGGTAATACTAGCTCCAAGGTCGTAGGTTTGCTGAGAAGATTAATTTAATTATCCCACGGGAAATGAAAGAGTACAGTGCCGGGCATGTAGTAAGTGCTCAATAAATACTATCTGTCACCTCCGCACCACCACTGACACAAACACCGCTGTGGCTGTTGATGTCATCAGTCCCTGCTGTGCACTGAACTGGGTCCCCTAAAAATTTGTATGTTGGATCCCCAATCCCCAGTGCCTGTGTCTTTGGAGATAGAGTCTCTAGGAGGAAATTAAAGCTAAATGAAGCCATAAAAGTAGGGTCCTAATCCAAGAGGACCAATGGCCTCTCAGCATACACACAAAAGAAAGACCAAGGAGGACCAAGCAACCTCCCACATATCCGGGGAGAGCTCTCCTCGGAGATGGAACCCGCAAGAGCCTGGGTCCCGGGCTCTGCAGTTCCAGAACTGTGAGAAAATAAATTTCTACTCCGTGAGCCATGTGGCCTGTGGCATTCGGTTATCTGTCATTACCACTGTCGCGATCACCATGGTCACCACCCCCGCCACCTTCGTCAGCACCATTGCTGTCACAGGTCGATTCCCCGGAAGCCACCCCCAGATGGAGCTGAGTGTGGGCGAGCCTGCCCTGCAGAAGGGAGGGGACAGGCCGCAGTGCACCCCAACAGAGGGCTGCATCCTACTACACGGGACCTGTGAGCCTGCCACTCCTCCAAGGTGTCCCGCAGGGGCACCTCTGTCCCTCAGCGTATTCATCTCATGGTTGGACCCGGGACTCTATCTTCCTACTCTTTTTCCCAAGCAGGTGATGCTCGCTAAGTCCCAGGGCCCTGGCGTTCCAGGCGTCCCCAGGGCCTGCTGGACGGGGCAAAGGGCTTGTGGGGGGCCTCACAGGGCCCCACAGCCTCGCTCACTTTCCCACCACAGCCGGGCCCCAGAGGCCGCCTCCCACTGAGGGGTGCTCTTCCACTCTGACCCCCAAAGGCTCCACCAGCACTGCCCAGCTTCCTGGCAAAGCCCACTCGGGCACCCACCCGGGAAAGAGTCTCTTCTCAGGCACTCCCGCTCCATTTGAAAGGGAGCCAAAATGGGGGACAATCTGCAAGTGTGGCAGGTCCTTTTCTGGTCCAGCAGACTGAGCTGAGGGCCTCAAGGGAGGGCCTGGGTCAGGGATGTGGCACTGAGAAGTAAAATCCCATGGAGAAAGTGCATGGCACAGTCCGGTATACAATAAGTGCTTTCTGAATGCTCCTGTCTCCGGTGTCAGACAGAGCAAGGAGTCAGGAGGGAGGTCAGCCCAGCCTCGCCTCTGGCCTCAGCCTCCTCACCAGCCTCCCTGCAGTCCCTCAAACTTATCCCTACCTCAGGACCTTTGCACTTGCTGGTCCCACTGCTCAGAGCCCTCTTCCCCAGAGTT